GGCCCGCACAGGCCCCTAAGAGTATGCATGCTGACAGTCACGGTCCGTGCTGCCCTGCTGCCCCGTTTGGCTGCGGGTGAACTCTGAGCAGCTGCCGCTGAGGCTTTTTTCATTTAGGCGCTGAATGCTGGGAAAAGACTGGGTTCAAAAAGAACTGGAAACATCGCCAGAGTGGAAGCTCTGACGATCGGAGGGATCAAAGCAAAGGCATTTGCAGCTCATTAGAGATGCATCAGCGGAGTGTTTGATTGATACGTGAATAATCAAATTGTATTTCGGTGCCAGGTTAACTATTTAATTATTTTTGACAAAATATTAGCAAAGCACAGATTTGCTCATTTAGAACACACAAAAATTTCTATTTTCGAGTCATTAAAATCTGTTTTTTTTATTTTTTATTTTTCACTTGCAACTCTGAAGCTTCAGCGTCTGAAGGAACTGCTCAGATGCCTTTTTGAAATCCGGCCTTGTTGCCAATCGTTTGGACTGCCTTTGGGTAATACAGGGCTTTTATTTTGAAATATTTTTCAGTCAAAACTTGAGTTCATTTATCATTTACTGAACTGTTGTAATTATCTTCAGGCAATCATTCCTAGTGGCTTGACGGCAGTTTCCTGATTATTCTGTTCAATTTTATCAATGATTTACTATTTATTGTGATTTAATTTAATTTATTATGGTTCACTCAACTCTACCAGGATTAACGTTTACTAATGTGATTGTTAATTTAAAGATATTTATATATTTATTATTCTTAAGGACAGGCTTTTAATCTTTTCTAATATGAGTTTTTTAGGTTAAAAAATGTAATTAATTATTCTAATTAATTAGTTAACTTAACTTGAGCTTTGCAGGAGAATATGTGGCAGAATTAATGGTTTAATTATGTTGCTGATGAAAAACAAAAATATAGTGTCATTTTAGAGTTAGAGTTCACTCATAAAAGGATTTTTTTTTCCACAATTTTCAAATCCAGTTGCGAGCCGGATTGGATAGTTTGGCAGGCCACATTTGGCCCATGAACTACAAGTTGATCATCACTTGTGTAGATTCTTGACAGATATCATTTTCAACATTTAAATCTAGGATCAAATCTCATAGTAAATTTTCCAATTTAATTTACAAAATACAAAAATTTTCAAAAATTCATTTAGGAACATAATGTAAAAAAATAAAAATAAAAAAAATAATATTTTCAGTATAAAATGTATCTATGCTTTTTTTCTGAATGACACTGGCTAACAAGGATCAGGGAGAAACAGAAAGTACAATCACCTTCTCCTCCAAGTAAACACAGGTAAGGTCACTGACCCCTGCTGATGAAAATTGGGTGGACGGGCTGCACATGAAGCCGGTGGTGACAGAACAGCGAGGAATAACATTGCCAGGCCTTTGACCTTCAGTGTAGCCCCACACTATCTCACCACCAGACAAAGATGAATAATACATGGCCTTCTCCAGCTGGGACCACCCCCACTGCTCACACTGGCAGAGGTACATAAACAGCAGTCATGGTGTGAACAGCATCATCCTCAGCATCCATACAATAAGGAAGACCATGTGTTCCCTAATTTGTCCACACCTCACTTCGCTGCGCCCTTTTACATAAAAAAATTATAATTCACACTTTTATTTGAGACATCATTTCCTAGAAGCAATAGAAACCCTTAAAAAAAAAAGAGAGAGAAGATGCTGCAGCTCCGTCGTCACGGTAATTTCTCACCTACGTTCAAGTAAAGTGAAGAAGCGATGGAGTCGTGGGAATTCTGCTGTTTACACAGTGAGAATGAACAGAAATGCATGAAACATTTTAAATCTCATGCGATTCCAGGAAAGGCGAACTCTCTGTGTTTCCACCTCCTTGTCATTTACTGTCTTTTTTCCCCCCGTCTGCTTTCCATACAGAGACGACTGAGTGGTTTGCACCAAGATTATTTGAATTTCATACAGTGTTTGACATTTGATAATAGTGCCATATGTGTATAGACTGTGCTCTTCCCTGCCAAAGGAGTCCTATCGTGTTTGTTCAGGGCCCCGCCTCCGTGCTTCGCAAAAGCAATTGAATCTGAAAAACACGAAGATCACCGCGAGACATCAACGAGACAAACCCAATCATTGTTTTAGTCTCACATGAGCAGATACATATCAATATTCTTTACGTAGAGGAATCTGTGGTGCAGCACTGATGGAAATAACCTGCAAAAACCTTGGTGTTGTTTGAATTTATTCATTGAAGACACACCATATAAAAGTGAGATACAAATGTACTGCATTTTTAAAAATGAGTAATGAACATAATAGGAATATTAAAAATAAAATATTTTTCTAAATTTAGTTGATTTTGTAATGAAAACTTCACCATCACTATCTTTTCACAAAACTTTTCAGATTTTTTTTTTTTTAAATCCTGAAAGCACTGTAAAAAAACAATTACCATTTGGCATTTAGCCTAAAGGTTAGCTTCTAAAATGAAGCCAAAATGAGCAAGAACATTGAAATATTGCCCAATTAATTTAAAGGATGAATGGAAGTACCTTAGCCAAAAACACTGTAAAAAGTTAAAGGCTATCACATTATTTAGTTCAAAATTACTCTATGTAAATTAAATAAAGAGCTAAATATCCTAATATCCCGTTAGGATTGACCAAGAGTTAACAAATAAACTGAAGAAATAAAACTATGGATACATGGATATGTGACTTATAACTTTGTTTTATTTCATAAACTGACCTAGCAACTTTAAACCGTGAAAATAAAACATCAAACCACCATGTGAACAAGAAGCATTATGTGTAAGAAGAGAGATGCGAGGGAGAAAAAGGTGGGGGGTGGGGGGCGTGGAGAACTATCAGCACGTGATTTACAGTGTTTGTGTGTGTGTGTGTGCGTGCGTGCGCGCGCGCGTGTGCGTGCCTGTGCAGTCGACTATCTTGACACCAGATATTTTAATGTCAAATATTATTCCACATTTGACTTAGAGCAGATTACTACCCTCTGCTGGAGACAGGGTGCACATCAAGTCCTTGATAGAAACGCGGAACCGACGTTTCCGGCTGTCTTCATTTCCTTGCGGTATGTTTTTGTTGCGACACCGGAGTAGCTTTAGCAGTGATGCTAACGACGGTGTCCCGTGCCCAAATACATTGTGTTTTATTAGTTAAAACGCAGGAAGACAGAAGAAAGCTTATCTAAAATATCATTTTAACGTTTCTGGACTTTCTGTTTTGCGTAAGTAACACTTTCGTTCTTCGGTCCTCGGTTTTAATATTGAGGTCATTTCACACACAGAAGTTCAGAAGTAGGCTACTATAGTTCAGTATAGAATTGAAGATACAGATAACTAAACTAAAGAAGCAGGAGCATTAGCTTGTTAATGTTTAAATAGTTGAAAGTAATGTTCTATTTTGGTTTAGTTTGTTTGTGCCGGAATTAAAATGTGAAAGACGAGGCAGAGTGTTGATTAACTCCTGTGACAAGTGAAGTGTCTTAATGTATCGCCTTAGTTCTGCCAAACTCAATCGTCACCATCCTATATTTTACACAACAAGCATGAATGATGTCACACATGGAGGCAACAGTTGGCAATGGTCGTCAGGGTGTGATGGAGTGTCACCATTGTGCATGAGTCACACTCACAACTCTGGCTCAGGATGCCCCTCACCTGGGCTTTGTTAGATGCCAGTTTGGAAATGAGGCGTACTATACATCTGTTTAGATGGGGGGAAAAGCCTGTCAGCTGTGGCAAAAACAAGTGTCCTTGTCTGTAACTGTGGTGGCCAGTTTTTGTTGTTGTTGTTTTTTATCACTGCACTCCATCATGTGTCAGAGAAGATGGAGAGTGACAGACACCTATCGTCGGTTCACCTTGTTTGTGTGGCATTATTATGGAAAGAGAGATGTTCAGACAGGGGTGGCATGTTTTGTCAAGATCACTTTACTTGAAGGGAAAGCCTTAAAAATAAAGTCCTGTGTAAGTGTTTATTGCTGGTACATTTCCAGCTCATATTCGATATGACTGACTTTCTTTTAAAAAAAAAAGTAAGTAAAAATACACTTTAGAGGAGAAAATAAAAATATTATGTCAAAAAGATGGCTCAAAGTTAAAATGACTGTTACAAGTGCAACATAACCATTTATTATTGCAGTGAATCTAAGAGGTGCTGTCCTATCAGGAGAACTATCCTGACCCAATTGTCTCCACTTTGTGTCCCGCAGCATAAATGAAGACGTCTTCATCTGTGGCACAGCTGTGGCCTCAAATCTCTGCTGCTCTGCCAGCCAGTGAGGACCAGTTCCTGCTGCTCTTCAGTGACACGGTGGAGTCCAGTGTGTTGGATTTACTGAAACGCTCCAGGCGTCATCTGTACAGCCAGACGTCCAACAGCAGCCTCTCACTGAACGCTCAGATCGTTTTGGACTACTCGTGGGAGAAACTCAACACGGGAACATGGCGAGACGTGGACAAGGAGTGGAGACGCGTTTACTCTTACGGATGCCTGTTCAAAGTGGCCGCTCTGTGCCGTGGCGGACCGTCAGAGGATGAGCTGCGGCAGGCCATCAGGACCTGCGACATGGGTTTGCTCATGGGTGCGGCCATCATGGACAATATACTTCAGGTTATTGTTGGGATTTTGCAAAGTCAGTTTAAAAAGTCCTGTGAAGACGGTGATGACCAGGGACAACCTGAGGTGAAGGTGAGTGAGCTACAGCAATCTATGCCAAACCTTTTCACCCGTGAGCCACAATTGTCCTAAAATTGAACATGGGGGCCGGGTCAGAAGCAGATAGATGGAATGTTTGTGTGAACTAAGATAAGTCATGTAAAAGTCATGCATAAAGGCTAAAATGCTAAAATGCTTTTTATAATTTTCTAATGTAAATAAATTATATAATTTGGAAAAGTTTGACCGGCCGGATTAAAAAGCCGAACGGGCCGAAAGTGTACCCAAGTCTGTGCTATGCTGATTTAGATCCACGCCTGCAACGTACCCAAGTCTGTGCTATGCTGATTTATATCCACGCCTGCAACACTAAGAAAACGCTCTGCACAGATTGCAATTTCCTAGCGGTGATGTAACTCGAATTTTCGTTGTAAGTCTGAACTTACATATAATTATAATATACAAAATATATGAATGAAACAAAATATGAAAGACTTTCTAATAAATTTAGATGTAAGCGCTGAAACTACATAGGTCAAATTGATTGTCTGACCGTCTATACAATTTTAATTATATGAGAAGTTTTTCCCAATATTTTTAAACCCTTTGTCCTTTGATCATACACTACTTTTCCAGATACTGTTTGTTAAATGTTGGAATAGTGACCTTAGATCAGTGTTTCCTAAACTTTTTTTTCTGGGGATCCATATTTTTAAAGTAACAAACCTTCGCGACCCAAGTCAATAGACATTTTTCGTAAACTCCTGGGAAACATGAGTCGAGACGACCAAAAAAAAAAACGAACTTTTGCAACCCACTTGAGGGTCGCGGCCCAGTTTTTGGGAAACAGTGCCTTTGATCGCATTCCTTTAGGACAGGATAAACCGGAGGCTCTGACATGAATAAAGAACTTCACATATTTCCATGTTATGTTCCTGCTGTCCTGCTGTCAGCTGGGATTGGATCAAGTGTTAAAACCTAAACAAACAAAAACAACCCATGAGCCCCTCTGTTGTCTCACGTCATTAACAGAGAATGAAGACAGAGTGTCCCCTTGTCCCTGTGATCAGAGAAGAGCTGGCAGTTCCCAGAGTGAAGTGTCCATCACTGGAAAGCTTCAAGACAAACTACCTGCTGCCTCTCAAACCCGTGGTTCTAGAAGGAGTCATTGACCACTGGCCTGCACTTAACCAACACCCCTGGAGGTTCGATTCCCGAACTGAGAGCAACTTTGAGAGATGTTAAGAACAATGATTAAAGTGTTTCAATTAGTTTCAGAATTGTTGTCCATTAGCAGTGGGACCAGTCGTCCTCCCCTCTGCTTGCTCTTAGTTTAGACACATCATTTTACTGATTGCACTAAATGAGCTGAGAGAGAAATCCAGCTGGACTTTGGCCCTGAAAATCACCCTTTGCTTCTAGAAGCCTATAATTTAAACCCCCTGACTGAAGTAACTGATTTTTTTTTTTTTACTAAATATTTTTATACCAGACTTTATAGTTCTTCTTTTCTTTCTTACCTCCTGTGCAGCATAGACTACCTGCGGTCAGTGGCCGGCTGTCGGACCGTTCCAGTCGAAGTCGGATCGAGGTACACGGACGAGGAGTGGTCACAAACGCTGCTCACGGTGGATGAATTCATCGATCGGTTTATTTCAAATGAGGTACGTGCAAATTTGTTGTTCCGACTGTGTTAATACAGATTTATTTATTTTCTGTGTTTTTTTTTTTAAACGTGTGTTTTTGTTTATTCCTCCCAGGATAAGGCTAAAGGTTTGGGTTATCTGGCCCAGCACCAGCTGTTTGATCAGGTACAGTTTGATTTTTTTTTTTTTTACTTTCAAATACATGAGCTTTGTGACTTTGGAAAAAATAATTCACTTCTTGAACTGAACCCAATATTTTTGCAGCTGTTAGTTTAAAACACCAAAATCAGCCTCTTTGTTTTCTTACCATTGAATGTACCAAGCTATTTAACTCTGGCCAATAAAATAACCCGAGAAATGTTTGAGAAAAGCAGAGCTAATTTTTTACTTTAATCATACTTACACACTACTTTACTACTGCCGTCTGGGGTCGTGTTGTATTCACTTTATGGAATTCCTGTACAGCTGAGCTGTACATTTGGTTGGGATGGGTTCCTGACAGATGTCAAATCCCCTCCATATGCATGTCAAATACTTTGAGTTTTTAATTGTCTAATTTAAATTCTAATCAGAATACAATAAATGAGAGTGAGAACCAACAGGTCACAGCGTCGCCACCTTTTCTACCTCGAAAGTTGACTAATAATGTTTTGAAATGAGAGACCTTGTTTTGTTATTTTGAGTCGTTGATTTATTATTCTTTTTATTTGCAATGTTTTATTTTGCTTGAATATTTTGAGTCGTTGATTTATTATTCTTATTATGTGCAACAATGTTTTATTTTGCTTGAGGTTAATATTTAGAATTAAAAATGTTATTTATTCTGTTTTCAGAAGCTGTGTTTTAATTCAATATATCTGGTGGAAGCGTTTCCTGCACTTAAACGTAATCCTGTTATTTAAATTTCCGCCTGATGATAATGATTTTTTTATCGAACTTCAGCTCAGGATAAGTGAGATTACGAGTGTTCAACTCAAGAAAAAAAACATTTTTGAAACACTGAATGTTTTTGTCATTTAATTTTTTTTTTTTTATGTTTGCCTCAGATTCCAGAGTTGAAGGAAGACATCCGTTTCCCTGATTATTGCTGCCTGGGTGAGGACGACGAAGACCACATTACTGTGAACGCATGGTTCGGACCGGGAGGTACGGTGTCTCCTCTTCACCAAGACCCTCAGCAGAACTTTTTGGCTCAGGTGATGACGCCTCAACAGCACCTCTGTCAGTTTCAGACGTCTTCTGCACACTGTTCTTAACGTTATATTTTCCTCCATACATCAGGTTGTGGGAAGTAAATACATCCGCCTTTATTCCCCGGAGCACACGGACAAGCTCTACCCTCATCAGTCACCGCTGCTTCACAATACCAGTCAGGTAAGATTGACAGTCCATAGCGACACGAACATGTTGAGCTTGCAAATGTATGCTGTATTTCCAATTTCTGACTCTCTTTCCCCGAGCAGGTGGAGGTGGAGAGTCCAGACACACAGCGCTTCCCTGAGTTTTCCAAAGCTCCGTATCTCGAATGCGTCTTACAGCCAGGCGACGTGCTGTTCATCCCTGTCCAACACTGGCATTATATCCGATCCTTGGAGCTCAGCTTCTCTGTCAGTTTCTGGTGGTCATGAATCCAGGAACCGTGATTCAAAATTAATTATTTTGCCTGTGGAGTATTGTTCCACAGTTGTAAATATTTACAAATTACAGTTTATTTTTATATATTTTAGCCATGCTGTATGTATATATACACAATGCAAATTCTGACCATAGGGTAAGTGTTGCTCTGATCATATGCTCTCTTTCAGCACTATCCAAAATTATTCATGACAAGGCTCCTCCCAAACACCATTAGTTTCTGGCTGCAAACCCACAGACAATGCGAGAAAATATGTGAAGAAACATCAACGTTAAGAATGTATTCTAATACTTTCATTCACTATTCAATAATTAACACATTTATTTAGTATAACGTGTGTATTGGTCTGCACGTTTAGTCGGCAAAAACCTGCCCATTTAGCGCCTGCTAGCTAGATTGAGGAGCAAAACCGATCGATCATTATTATTGCGGGGCTTTTTTTTTTTTTACTAACCTGTGATCAAACTAATAACTATTTCGATCGTTAAAACACGTTTTGAGACGGAGGTATGAGACCGCCGCATGCTTAATGATGATTGGCTAAGGCAGAGCAAGCGTTCACAGTAAGCTAATCAGACGCGGTGTGTTCACCCACACTTGCAGCTTGAGCCGAGACAAGAGTCTTTTTTTTTTCAGATAACAAAGAGGGCAGAAACTGAATAACTTGAAGAATCAAACATTTCCTTGAGAGAGGCTTAACATCCAACGTGGTCTTGATGTATCGGTGTGACGATGTCGTCGTTGCAGGTGCGTACGTCTTCAATTACCATATTGGATTGAAACAATGAAATGTGCTATTTCTGGTATGTTCAGATACTCAAAGTTGACGGAGCAACCTAGCCAATTGTTGTAATTGATATGTCGTGTTTGTAGTCGAGCTGTGATATGCGAACTGTTGCATACAAACTTTTCAATCGACATATTTCCGCTGTTTATCTTGTGTAAAATGCTGACATGGAAGAAATGGTTGTAAATGATCAGAATTAAATAAATATTCGTCAAACATCCGGACATGTGCTAATCGTCACTCCAATAGTAAAAATAAAAGGGGCGTTCTCAAGACACCCGTCTGTTACTTATGCACACACATACTGTATATACAAAAATAGACATATAAAGTAACACATATTTACATATATTACTTAATGCATTTCGGGGACTTTTTATT